GAATGAGTCCCAGTTGACAGAATTAAACAGACGATAATGCTTTGTTTTCTGTACATGGGCCTTGCGTAGTCTTAGTCAGCATTTGATCACGCGATGATCGCTCCCCGGAAATTCATCAAGAACGCTAACACTGATTGCAGGTATGCCCAATGAAAAATGAGATCCAGAGTACTTTCACCTCTGGCAGGTTGGGAGAGTTGTTGCTACCAGCCATTCATTTGGATACAGGGGATAAGATTTTGGTATTTCAAAGGAGCGGTTTCTATGGGTCATGAAATCGAAGGCAGATTGAAATCACCTCCAATAATCTTATGTAGAAATGGTAAGCTAGCGGCACATTCAAATGCAAGCGTCAAAAGTTCCAGGTATTCTTGGCTGCAGTTTGGCGCTCTGTATATGCATCCCATAAGCAGCTGCTGCTGATTAACAGATATCGTAAGCCAGAGTGATTCCTGAACATTGTTCAGCACTGGGTTCTCGAAGGGTGCTGGTGCGAGCGATTTTTTCAGATAAATTACACAGCCACCACCTCGACGACCAGGCCGATTTCTCATAAACTTGTTATATCCGAAAATAGTTAACTGATTGTCAGACATGCTATCATGGCACCAAGATTCAGTTATAAATATTATATCAGGATTATTCACCAAAACAAACGAGCGTAGTGTGTGGATCTTAGAGTGAAGAGAACTAATGTTTAGCAAAAATACTGAGATAGATGTGAGATATGAGGAAGATTGTTTAGGTTGTGTTATACACACTGGGATTTCAAGTTGTGTGCCTGGACCCAGGTTAGAAATTGTTGAAAAATTGCGAATATTGCCAACGGTGGAAAATGATTTGGAGATGGCCACTGCGGAGGGGATTGAGACTGAGTATAGTCCTCTAGAAAATGGATCGAGGGAGAGTCCATACTTGTTGCAATACCGTGTGGAAGCTGGAGAGTTAGATTGTGTCCTCTGCATCATGTCACTAATAGGCTGTCGATTACGTAACGCATTGATAGGACTCAGTGGGTTGCTGTCATTTCCATCTATGGGTAAAATTCGCTTAATTGCGCTCGGTATATAAAGCTTCACTATACGCGGTGGAGGCACACATCAACATGATCCGTGTGGTTCGTTGAGGGAATCGGAAAGTCATGGTACCCAATTACACCGTTTGTAAGGCGCAAAGATGGCGGCACTTCTTCCATAACTTTATGACCAATGGATGTACGTCTATCCAAACAAAATGACTATACAGAGTAGCCCAGTGATGCTTGCGATAAATCTAGGTCAACCGTCCTTCTACTAGGGATCAATTTGACCGGATCCATCGATATTCTCGATGAGCTTGGACACTGGTCATAGCAGCCTTTAGACGGGACATGACAGTTCGAGGTTTGAGGCAGCAGTTTCGCATGTAATCGGGATTTAGCTGGCAATGCAGTTGTTATTGGCTGATCCCCGTTATTATCATTTCGCATACAAGAAAGAGCATTAGGAAACCCTATATGACTGCCAGAATTGATTATCCAAGAGGAAGCACTATACACATCACTAGTTTTGTGGATTGTAGTCGTTTTGGACTTGGTCGGCTTAGCATGCTTAGCCGTGAAACTGCGGCCTAATGGAGGTCCTCCAGTAACCAATTTTGCATCTGACCTTGATCTTAGTTCCGAAACGTGAGAATTAGGTGTTCTACCGGACACAGCATCTAATGCAATAGAATGGTCCGCATATTCATGTGATTCCTTATTAATTTCAAAACTCACTTTATCATTCACCGCTTCGCCCCTATTTGCAACAAACGGAGTATTATTCTCACATTTGTGATGGCCACTATGTGAAGCAATATCAACTGGATGCGGGACACCATATGGCTGTTGAGTATTCTGTTATACCTCAGACGTTCTACCTATCTCTCATTGTAGCGGGGTTTTGTCCTCCATAATTTTCAGACTTTTGAAAGTCCTATTAAGCACAATGAGATTGCGCCTTTGAATGAATTTGTTATAATTGAGGGAACGCCTCTGTTATGATTGCGTAGATGCCTGCTAAGATTGTCACTGGCACGGTTGGAGCACGCCTACGGTAACGGCTTGTAACGCTGGCCAATCGAACGGATTTGCGCTGACCTGACGGCGTTAGCTTAGCCCGGGGTACGCGCTGGTGAGACGGAAATTGAGCGAGAGTGAGAACGACCCTAGCCGCACGTATTCGGGTCGACGCTGAGCCCTCGGAACAGACGCACACGAGAGGGGGTTACGGTAGTCGCGCAGTAGTGACTTAGACGCGAACGCTGCCCGGCTAATGACGCACACAAAATCACGTGACCGACCGACTCCCACTAAGGCAAAGAGGAAGCAAGACAAGTGGTCCTGTAAAGGATCTTTTACGACCAACAAAGGGCGAATCACAGCTAATGCAATGGGTTATTTAGTTAGGGAAAATTGTTACCACGACGGGTGGTAGTTTATAAAGGAATATTGTCAGCAAGTGCGCAGTTGGGCCGCGTCTCGGAGTGGCTGAACACTGCTATGTTGAAGGGAGGAATTGGACCTCGCTTTCCACAGCCATTATGCCGGAGTTTCTGGTGCGTTTTTGCGGGGATATTTTACGGGCCCGAAACAGAATTGTTTAGCAATAACTTCATTTTGGAACTGGAAAAGTATGGGACACGTGTAAGGCATTACATTTTTTCCGAGTCAGATGCAGCTGGACCAACAAGATTGCATATTGCATGCAGTGAGAAGCATTTCCCGAAGTTTTTAAGGGTAAATTGTCTGGCATATTAGAAATCACCGCATTACGTTAATAGCGTACTCGATTGTGTACTTTGGTCGAAATAGAGTCTATCAGTACAGTGCACTTCATGAGGTTCATTTTATCAATGTTTGGGGGCGATTCAAATAAGAGAGCTCGACTCTGCAAAGGTTGCAATATCGATGTGAGCATGTCGACTTTTAATGCAAGTTCAGCGTATGCAGTTTCAGCTACGGATAGGCATTCTTCAGGTGTCTTTCTCAGGTCATCGCGTAGTCCAAGCGAATTTCCCACAGCGCCTACACTGCTTTGGGTATTTTCTTTATTACTGCTTCCAGCCTTTGTGCGAAGTACCTTAGTTCGTTGTCTCAGATTTTGAACTAATAGGGAAGCATCCTGGCCCATAATACTTTTTCTCCTCATCAAGCGTGTCCTAACTGTAGACATGATAATGAAACCGAAGTAAGATACACTGAAGCAAAATCAGAGGACCTAAGACAATGGGTGCTAACTTCTGACTCTTAACTGAACATTCACGTCTAGTATAATACCGGTAAAAATGTCAACTCCCGGAAACTGTGCGATTTAATTAGGAACAAAAAGAACGCACCGCAGTGAACTATTTCAATCTCCACATCCGAGTTGCCCACGTTGTTGATTTGGAAACGAGTTCTCCACCAATTCCAATGACACACCGGTTGGCACTCGGGTCAGCACAGTGGTTCCTCGTGGCAGGTCACAAGCGGTTGCAGGTGAATCCAGACAGGCCTCGGAACGAAGCACAGGTCAGAGCGCTTCTTGGTGGGGCACTAGTGGTGTGTGGCCGGTGGGTTGATTTGAAGTAGCAGCCTCAGTGACTGCGACACACTCGAAAGATTAGCGGTAGATCCTTTATATTGCTGCCCGTGTCTGCCTTACGCAGCCATCGATAAAAGCAGTCGCGTAGTTGTTAGAGCTCTTATGTTGGACTTCCATAGAAGGTCACACTTTGTGGTGTAGGATGCAAACCGGGATAAATTCCTCGTGTATACCTCCACAGAGAAAACAGAAAATGTAAAAATCGACGGGAGATAGTCGTCTGTAATGCGTGGATTCGAAATACGCTACGCATTGGAAAGAGCACGTCGAGCCGGTTCGAATGAGCGTGCAGTGACAACGCTGCGAGTAGACGGAGAGAGGATAGAGAGGAATAATCCAAATGACCAGAAAGCACGCACGTCACGCGTATATGTGGATGACTTCGGTGCTTATAAGTAGAAAAATGATATGTGACATTGTGGAATGCCATATGATATGGTGTAATAAAATATTGCGGATTTAAACTATCAGTTATTAATGGTTTGGCTTCTCCTTTCAAAACACACTAGGTGATGCGAATTATCCTGATGCTATAGCCCAGTAAAATATTGAAGATATAGGAAGGAGAGACAAAGCAAAAGATGCATTTTGTTTCTCCACCTGCTAATGGGACTTAAAGAGTGGCATTTTCGAGCAAATAGTTATGCTGGGGTGAGGTGAACCTGCATAGAAGATCAGATTTGTTTGAACCTGAGGAAATTAACATAACTGCAGGCACTTGAAAACCGAATGTTTTCATTATATTCTGCATGATGAGAAAAACAACTGTTCCTTTTAAATTTGGTTAGGTTCTCACTTGCCCGTATTTTCAATAGTAGCTTGTTCCGTACGTGTGTACATCTAACCAGGAAGAAGTTGGGGTGGATCTCTAAGTTCTCCTTTTTCCGGGTAGTGAGTAACCATTATTTCTTGTGGGATATGTTGGGGAGTTTTGCAACGGAAGATCTATTCCGGTCGTGTACACCTGGCAATGTATACTTGTAAAAAGGAACTAGATTATTTCTCAGGCGATGCTACCACCGAGTGTGTAGTTCGAGGCAGTGCAGTGGTCTTCATAGTTCAGTAGTGGAACGGCCAATAAGGAGTTTCGTGAAAAACGCTGATGTTTTTTAAAGCAATTCGATCCGTTCTAAGCAGGCGACTATGGATGATTGTGCAGTGCTCCAGCATAGGACTCACGATAAGCTTAAACATTTCCAGTAGCCCCAGTAGCATTATTTTAACTAAGTGTTGTAAATTCAAGCCACTTCCCCTTTGGTAGTTGACTACCTCGGTTTCTAACCAGTTGTAATGGCTGCTGCGCTGCAGATTAATAAGTTTGATCAAACCATCTGTTTTGCGCACAGGATTAGTCACTGTCATATACCTTTCCCAATAACATTTCTCTTATCCTAGTGGTCCAAGCAAGATATATTCAGCCTCCCGTGGATGCCGGATTCAGCGTATACGTCGAGGTAAGCCATGCATTTTACCGTTTTCTTTCAAAATCCGTCAAGTAATTGGACCACCACATGAACTGTGATATCTTTGAATAAGAAGCCGTCCATGTTTATCTTCCACGCTATGATACTCAATAATTTTTTACTATCTGAAAGATGACGGCAGAGTAAGAAGTTAACTACCGGTTATTTATACGCACATTTCCTCCAATGCTTCCCAAATATCACGACTGTGAACTCAGTGTGGTTCGGTTATAACTTGTATACCACCCATTTGGCACCACTCACCGCAAAATTTTGCACACACCCGATTGGAATGAACATACATGGTTATTAATTAGTTCACCATTAAATCCACCGTATGTTTTATATCGTTTTACGTTAAGCCTTGGTACACTGGGATTCACAGGTTGCGCCTGGTGACCCGGTCCGGAGTTTATTCTTACGTTTCGCCCTGTTACCCAGGTACGCGTCGCTTCGAGAAAGGAACCTCGTCAACCAATTCACTGCTTTCGGTCAAAATCTGTGCCAGATTCGACATCACCACTTTTCGATGAATGGTTTATATTGTAAGTTCAACTTATAGTTAGGATACAGTGACCTGTTTAATTGCCTAGTAAATTTATAAGATGGCCTTTAACTTCATGCTTTATGTCGGTACTCCGGCTCCAGAACGGAGATACCGGTTGTCTCTATGTCGAAGTTCACCGCTTTGTATTTCCTGAACGTTCTCCATTTCGCTGTTCCGCATTTCTGTTCACATGCTTCATTTCATTAGTTTACCGCTGATTCGTGGGCAGCAATATGTCTCCTAATCACCCGTATGCATTCCCTGCTAAAATGGATGCGGTACCATTCATGATGGACGCATTACTAAGTAGCACCGGTTCCACAGACTTCTACATGTACGGACGCAGAACGAGTTGTCTTTTTCTCACGTATGCGTTTATGAGTACAATAAGATTTGGGCCCTATGAGAATGACGTCCAGCCATAATAGTTATTGATGTGATCTGTGTAACAGCCTGGTGCCATATCAGACGCTTGGTGTTCGGTACGCTTTGACTAGCACAACATATATCATACGAAGAAACTACGTCCCTCACATTTGCTATGACCATGGTCAGGAAGGAAACCATTAAGATACTCCTTGGGTAGTGACGTTGTCCCTACTCAAGAAGAGTATCAACTGACGCTTGTTTGTGTGGATGGCTGCAGAGAACGATGTTGTGGTGGAGGTCATCGTTCCTTTTGAATCGTGCTCTGTTTTGTGTGCGTCATAATGAGACCATTAACACGAGATATATATTGCGGTCATCGGTCACCTGTTCCCTTACGATGTGGTCACTAGAACACAGTGGTAACTCTCTGAGGAGTGCATTTTATGCTTCGTTATTACAAATGTTAACCCTTACTGACTACATCGTACTGTTTCGTCCTGAACGGTATAATGTATTTTCTTTATTTTCGATTACCTTTAGTTCAGCTTGCTCGGCTACGTATCGCACAAGGATATACATTGAGGTATATTTGATTCAGAATGAGTAAGTTCCGCATTCAGTTTGTAACACCAATCAATAAGCAGTCAGTTCCTTAGAGCTTATTCTTATGATACTTGTAATGTTCCATTCGGTTTAATTTGTTCACCTGCTTACTAACGCCATGAGCTCTTTCGAAGTGCAGGGAGTAATGGCTTTCGAGACCATCGATAGACACACTTTTTGCCCACTGCTCAGAACACAGAGCACAAGGCTTAAGTTAGACTGCATAGTTGATCCTGGTCAAGTGAATTCAACCGTAGATCGAAAGCACTCCACCTGATTGGTGTTCAGAAATGGCAATTTTGTTAGCAATTGGTTGGTAAGAAGTACAATTCCACGTGTACTGCGCTACTGTGTGTTTTCGTGCCTGTATCCCTTTGGCCCCCATGTGCTTGCATCAGCTTTTAAACATTTTAATTCAGCAGATGAATTGGACTTAGTCAGCTGACGCTGGAGAGGACGCTGACGTCATCTACTTGGATTTATCGAAGGCATTCGATCGTTTGATCATCGGATCGACAACCCACTTCCATGCTGGATCGCCAACTTTCTCCTATAATAACCATTGATGATCAGAGTTCGGAGCTGTTTATCAGACCTCCATACAAATTGGGTGGGGTGTGCCACAAGGCTCAGTTCTGGGTCCACGGTTGCCTCTGGTATTTATTAATGACTTCGTAGAAGCAATCGTTTCGAACTTCCTATTGTTTGCCGATGACATCAAGATTTCGCGCAGGATCCAGGTGAATGCCGATCAGCATCCGCTTCAAATTGCCCTTAACACGGTAAATCGGTGGTTAACCCATACTCAGCTGCATTTCAACGTGGGCAGATGCAAGGTACTCTCCATACGAACACCAGATCAACTACTCTTGTACGCTCAAAACGCATGTACTGCAGCGAGCTTCCGACGAACGTGATTTGTGTGTGCTGGTTCAAGATCACTTAGGTTGCTCCAGGCAATCCGAAAAGGCATCGAAATCTGGTAGCCAAAATGTGAGGCTTCTGTGACGAGCGTTCGAACAAATAGGAATCTCTATTTTCTGACAGATGCTCAGCGGTTACGTCCGCAATTCAAGCCTGGCATCCATGGCTGAAACACGACCTCAATGCACTGCAGTATCCTCAACGTCGGGCATCCAAGTGCATTATTAGAACGTACAATCTCACATAAGGGCAGAGGCTGATACTTTTGACTATATTCAGCGGACAGTATCGCCGAGTATGAGGAAAGCTGATAATGGCCTACTTGATACTGCACGGCCCGTATCCAGTGTGCCGCTCCTTACTGCAACAGCAGTAATACAACACTGAGGTCACTCACTGAAACTCGCAAAAATGTATAGACCTCTGGAGTGTCACAGGAATTGCTTTTCCATTCGGCTATATCACCAGTGGAATACTCCCTCCGAATCAATCGTTTCTGCACCCACAGTAGCAATATTGGAACTCCGTTAAGACTACCCATTCGCCCATTTCACTTTGTTACTTAGTACTATATCTCCATCATACTCTTGGAATATACCTTGTATTTATTTGCTGTTACCTGTAGGTGCTATGGAACTACGCGGATTACAGGAGTGTAGCATAACAAACAATAAGTCCTTTTCATACTTAAAGTATCAATTGTCCTTTTCGATAATTTCATCAAACCAACATGACTTGTAAAGCAGTGCTTCTTAACCCGTATAAATTTATTGTTTATCGTTCATTATAAGCGCTAGAATGAAGTATACGCTTCACGACAACAGCATGAATGTCAGGAAGCCAGCGGCTTCCCGATTGGGTGATACCCGTTATGGGTTCCAGCTCGGATATGACCGAATCGTTGGCGCGTCATACTCAAAACAGTGCAGCGCTCAACTCAAACATTCAGTCGGTTTTTTCATTCCTGGCATTGACGTTCGTGATGACATACAGCCAAGTATTGATCTCCAGCATGGGGAGGGGCTTCATCAGATGTTCACCAACTAACTTTAATTTTCTTTCTGTCTGAAATCCTTTACCAACTGCAGAAACGTTTTCTGTCCTGTTGTGTAATCACTCTTTACTTTTGGCACGTCCAATGCGATATGCACAACGCGATTCGCAAGACAGCACGCTTTAACTTAACGAGTCTTAAGACATGAAGTCACGGCGGCTTACTACACGCTCGTTATCTACCAATGGCATCTATTGAATTACCGAGCATCCTGAAATTGAGCTGTGCGCTATCGATCAAACTTCGTCCTGGCTACGTTCTGTTCGGCGCGTGTGATAAATCTGTGGCTGGGTTGTGCACAGTGAGAAACTCAGTCTGAAAATTCATTTGATCTGGAACACATCGCTCAACATTTTTGACCAGCTTTCGCCCGTTAAACATGCACCGTCCTAGCCAACCAAGTCACGTTGGCTGCGTGTGTCCGTTTCGCGTTCATTGATTCCTTTTTGCAATAGACCTTCCAGTTACGTTGGTAAGATGAAACCGCTTACACCACTCTACTTTGAAATGACTTGATCACTTCTTGTGTTTACTTATTTTCAAGTACACACAACGATGTGGTATTCCTCGGTGGAATGTCTTTTGGACTGCGTCATTTGGAACGTCAAGCTAAGCTTGCGGATCAATTGCATATACCTAATACTGTGGTCGAGCACGAGGAGCATAATCTGACAGCTTGTGGCGTTGAACGGCATAGCGATCGACCAGACAAAATGGCCGATTCAGTTCTGGATTCTCGTCACAATCTACAGAACCGATCTTCGCCCAATTTGTCAAATCCACACACAGATCATGATCCTTCCGATGCACATTGGTATTACTTACTGTCTAAACCCGCAAGTTATTGTCACCATATGTCTGCACCGGAAAATCTGCAATCTTTACGACACATTCAGAATACCCGTGGGCCAAATGTGATCGAGAATCGAGGTTTGCATCAGGTTGACTGCCGAACGAAGAGCTCAAGTTCGTCTTGCGATAGTGCTTCCACAGTCTCGTCGCTGCCGGTAGATGGGAACCGGCATCTGTTAACCTCCAGGATTTCCAGAGTAAGTTAAATGTTTTCGTGCACCGATCATTGGTGGCAGAAGATGCATAAAAATGGTTCATACCATACTTGTCTACTGTATTAGGTGGGGTATTGTCGCCCGGCGGCGGCGTTCCAAGATAACTGAGAGCGGCTGGCTGCTCTGGGTTTACGATTTGTCGTTCACATATTCAACGCTGTGACCGGTGAGCAATAGCATTGTTAACAACACCACGCGTATCCTAACTAACATAGATAGTGAATTGCACGGACTGACTTAAAGTAGTTTAGGAAAGTCCCACACAAATGACCTACCGATCTTTGTTCGAGTACAAGAAAGAATTGCACTGCATGGAACTCATGGTTGATTAGCCCACAACTGGTTTAACCGTATTGTACTACAAGTAACTGTTGAGCAGCAACTTCCTCTCGCCAATGAAACCTGTACGGTTACCTCAACTAGTGGGCATCGACAAAAATGAGACGCTGCTCAGCATGTTAACTCCGATGGGTACCTAAAACGATATGGAGAATGTTACTTTGAAATATATGGCATCTGGTTATCCCACTGACACTTTTGGTGAAGCGACACTATCAATCGTCCTTGATTTCTGTGTTCATCTGGATATAAGAAGGAACGTGACAATGTTTCTTGTGAACATCATTTGAGGTTAACCTCTGCGTCTACACTTTTCGCTACAGTCGTGTCAATAAATTAGTGCCCACACTACTTTTCTTCTTCCTCAGTTAAGTTTCCTTGATAACTATTGTTCTGTTGGTTATTGGTAAATAATAGATAAAGCCTAACAATCTGGCTGACGTCAAACTTGCAGTGCGGATGAAGAAAATTGATAAACCTGACATACGTTCACACTGAATGTGGCCCAGTGGTTCGAACACACTGTACGGTGCAAATTCAAAATTACAAAAATAAGGTTGCATTGGAATGGTAGATGTGGTTTCTTCTGTGTTCGTTAGCTCGCCGGTAGTTTCATCTAACTTTGCAATAACAATTGACCCCCAACCCTCCAACAGTTCTTCGGATCATATTGCAGACTGGCCCCGTTGCATATCGCTCAAATGGAGTTTGTAAAGATGTGATACAATGATTAACGAAGTGGAAAGGAGTGCATAGAAAGGTGTGAACCTAAGATACAGTCTTGCTCATGACGATCCGTCAGGGAGAGATGGTGAGAGTATACGAAACCGGGACACTTGCGTGGTGAATAACTAGCCTAAACGCCAAATCCATCCTAAGAACAACGGTTTGTACAAGGTTTGTACGCTCGATTTAAGTCTGTACCAGTAAACAACTTGCTTCACACTTGGTGGTGAGACAGACTGAAGAAGGGAGAAGGTGATGGCGTTATATGGATTCGTGATGAGTGCCCAGTTGTCCAAAGTACAATTGTCCGTAGTTCATAGTCACATAGTGTGTCTTTCATCTAATCGAGTACGGAAAATGAAGAAATGGAGGTGGCAATGATCAAAGCTTCTTTATTCAACCAACCGATCCAGGGTTAACATGACAGATCGTTTCTCAGTCTCATGTTGCGGTCTTGGTTGCCTGGATCCCTAACGCTACTTAACTGTTGAAGAGTTCACTGATATTCATCCAGGTGGCGCATGACGAGTACAGCCCCCAGTCCACCAGTGAGTTACCGTGCTGTGGATGGAAGGGTTACCTAGTCGCCTTTCTAGCCCGTGTGTCTAGCGCTGCTAGGGAAAAAGGGGAGACGGACTATTGTGTATAATCCTCCAAAATTAAAGTCCGAACCTCGATCAAAATCTGCTATTCATAAACGGGTATTTGAATCACTTCAGCGACATACATTCTTCCGGATGCTTTTTTCGTAGCATCGGCTTGAACACTGTGCTATTTCAAAGTAATTTTGAACTTACTCTTATTGACACACGGAATCGGGGTCCATTAGAGGCTATCGACTAGAGCATGCAAAAGTCCAATCGGGTTTTCGATGCTCGTAATCGAGGTCGGGCTGGGGTCATTGCTGATCGCTCGCCCACTACCACCACAGGAACTGGAGGTAGCCAAATGGGAAGTAAACTTGTTCTGTTACCCGATTAGGTGCGTTTGCACAGGTCTAAGGCGACCCATGGATGCCACTCTTGCTCAAAAGCATCCACTAGCCATTTCCCTTATCCACTCTCTCGACGTTTCCAATTGACTCCATGTCATATCGGGTTCTCCTTGATGATTAATCAGGAGCCGCCGTGGTCTTATAATTGTTCTCTTATTGCTAGAGAACAAATGTCCTATATTCCAGCGCAGGGAAGTAAACAGAACCCTAATCCTTCAGCGTAAGATAAGAGTCGCGTTGCTTCCCAATAAGTGTCACGTGGAAAACCTAGCGAACCTAAACAATGGACCTGCGATTGTTTTTGTTACGTGAACTGCTTGCGTTTTAATATCATATGAGCGTGTACGCAATCCTGTGACTGGTTCTCATGGTGCTAATTTGGACCCAGCATATATACTGATCTGGCTAGACTACCCTGAATTACTGGATCATGGAGTATTGCGCCTATCTCATTGTACTGGACTGACATTTAGTTTGACAATTACAAATGGATATCCACTTTGTAGATAAATTGTGTAACTGTGGAGTGTACAGAGACCATGGAACAGTAGTGTGTGCGATTGAAAATGTGTGGGATCAATAAGCAATGACACTGCACGTTGATCATCTTTGCATACAACTTAGCTCTCACAGTGTACGTCAACAGCGGAAAACTTCCCAATTAAATTAGATGTATTGGACCTTTCAAAATCTTCTAAAAGTTCGGGAGTGTTCTGCAGTCCTACGGAAGTAATGAAGTGTTGTTTGTGGTAGATGCACCGAACGCATGTTGTGTGTTCCCTTTCCCCCTGCGCCGCCCCCATTGTAATGTGACATGTTGAAAGATTAATTAATTATGGCATTCAGGACGATAAGTCTCCTTGAAGCAGATTTAACAGGCTCCGAAGGGGAACAAGGGCATTGATATCGCCAATTCTATTCCCCGACACGGCCTCTGATCAAAATTAGACCTTGCCGTATGATACCGAACACGTGCTCAGTGTCACACCAGCCCGAGCGAGTGAGATTGCCACACCTAACGGAAGTAGTTAGTAGAAAAATTTTTCACGATCTGTTATAACGACTGGAATGAAACCGATGGCTTCTAAAACCATTGTTCGACGACTGGTGAGAAAATAAGTATATCTCTCCCTTCACCTTCCTCTCAGTTTACCATTCCACCCTCCGATGAAGGATATGGCTTTACCTTGCAAGAAAGACCGACCGGATGGTACTGCTCTTCGTCAGGACAAGACAGCAATAACAACAGAAATTATTTCAGCATATATATTCATCGTGTCAAACGGGGATCTCCGGCTGATCAAGTGGGACTTCCGGTCGGCGCCCGCTTGCTCGAGGTCGGCGGCAAGCTATTAGATGGGTTTGCGACACTGAAAGATGTGGTTTCGCAGTTGCGCGACGCAGCAAAGGATGATCCAACTGATGCAATTAATGTAGGAGTCCTTCAGCTCAACAAGTTAACACACGTTGGCAAGTGGTATACGGTTTTCTTCATTTTCCTAGCATCAGTCATCTCCGCTGTATCTTTAATGTTCCTCATGGTCCGTTTTAAGTTTTGAATTGTTTGCCCCTCAGTCACTCATGTGCACCATTGCCAGGGAGATGTAATGCAAATTCTCTACTATCCTTAGCCACCACTTTAACCTAGACCAATGTACCTAACTACTGCCAAAGTTAGTGTTATTTAACCTTTTTGTTTGGACGCAGGGATCAAGGTCAGTGCTTCTGATGAAAAGGCAAATTTGATCTCCTGTATCCGTCATAGACCAGTTCAACTAAGTGCTGGTCTAGTTTGGAGCCTAAGTTTACCACTTCTCTACGTGTTATTGCCTAATCGATGTTTGTACTAGGTATGTTGACGATGTTAGACTGCAGCTACAGAGTAGTCATTTCTATGACGACATCGCAGTGCATATTTAGTAATTCGATCGCCTAGGGGACACGAAGGCGGATCACCGTAAACTATGACGTGCTTTCGAATTAGACCCACCTAGACCATCTGAAGTCACATCCCTCCAAGACCTACCGACAAAGCGTCTTCTCTCTACAATGAAATCTTTCTTAGGTGGCGATTCATTCCGTTCAGATACCGTCACGTAACTAACTGCGATATAGTGACAGGCACCTCAAGCTATCGTGCGTGCTCCCAAAGTGCAGAGGCCAAGGTGAATCCCAGCCACGCAACCAACCTCTGGTCCGTCAATCATCTCGTTTTCGTAAGGTACCCTCAATACGTAATAATTTTGGAGGAGTGGTAATTGTGGAATTTCCATCATTTTGACGTCGAGGGCCCGTTGCTCTTATTCTCATCAGATTGATATAACTTCTCAAGTCGCCGATTAAAGAAATGGGGTACCCAATAATTCGCCTGTATAAGTGCTGTAGCACTAGGGTGAGTTGGACGTTTTAAACAAAAAGTGGCCAGCATTTTTGCCTGCTTATCTTTTTGCATACTCAAGCAAAGATCCATCATAGTTGCGCTTTCATTTACCTGCATGTTGTGCATCTTCAGCTGGTGCAGCTCAAGGCCTAGGGAATACCAATCTGTGCTCTTTGAATGACCAACTAACTGCGACCTGACATCAAGGCTTAGTAGAACCAAAGTGTTTTATCAACCAAACAGTAGAAGCTGAACCAAAGGTACGGAACTCTTTTGAATTTCAAGACAGGATTACCCACTGAGCGGTTAACTTGTTTTTTCTGAACTCCGTCTGAATGTACCCAAACAAGATCACAGAAACCATTAACTGATAAACCTTCATGACTTTGTTTAACCCATAGGCCCTGTGGGTCTATTGCCTGCGATAAGTCAAGGTGCACTTGTTACAGCAGCGTTCAGGTTTTTGCTCAAGGAATCACGATTACGGCATGCTCTACCATCACTGGCAACGACAACTAGTTGGTCTTTTGCTGCTTGAGAAATACTGCTGATGTGATGATGGCTTGCTGATTTGTACTTGGTAAAATGACCGCGAACTTTCAACAACCATTTCACCAAGGTGATGTCATCGCACAACGCGGATCAATCAGCGTGGATTTGATGCACTGGATTGGTGTTGAACATGCAGCGCGCACCTGATGAACCGGCTAAATCACCTACAGAAGTGAAATTTTACGGGACAGTCCATTTGGTAGCGGTTTGGTTCACTCGATCAGTTACGCGGCGCTTAATCTCTGACCCCCTACCCTCCTTACGCGAGTATTACATGTCCCTAATACTCTCCATTGTCCCCACCGTTAGAGTTACGGCCGGGGCCTTTGATCTGACTATTTGCTCCTATTGTGCACAGGAGCAACTGTCCGGTGGCGTCTGGAGAGAAGTGTTTCTTATATCTGACTGCTCGTGCTCTTCTTTACTGTTGATACATACCAGTCACCCGCACCGTCCTCATGGTGTCTCACACATGCTCTGCTTATCATGGGCTATCTGTGAAACGATTTTGGCGAACCTTTGTAACTGTATAACTGTGTCATTGATTAGAACATCTGTGGACATACTGAGATATTGTATGATGGCAGCAGCTCTGTTATTTACGCTAGAATAATCCCTAAATTGTGTTTTTCGTGTTACTGTCACCACAGGCCACCACAACTTTGTCGAGGCTTCCTGCCCGAGTGAAGGCGGCATGTATACTTGTACTTCCCCTACGGACGCATTTCTAATGGCGCCAGCTGTTCATGGGTCAGGTGTGACAGCTGATGGCCCCAATCAGACTCATACGACTCAATCGAGTTCTCCTCCTTGGTTCTCTCATGCCACTCAGTCTACACATGCACAACTAACTAGCCAAGGCAATTTACGTTTGAATACTGTGGCAAACTGGGACAAAAATGCGGCGTTTTTCCTTGCCCGCTGTGGACCGGCGGTAGTTTGCGAGGAGCGCTGTGTCGACGTGGAGCCCACAGATGAAGACAACCTGCCTAGCAGATCAGGTGATAGCTCGAGAAGGCGTCAACGTTTTTTCAAGTTGGCCCACCCCGTGCTCAATCTGAAGTGGTCGGAGCTGTCTCCAGAAGAGGCGCAGCGCCAATGGGCTATCTCTGACTTTTTGAAGAGACTGGATCGCATTTCCAACGAAATGCTGTCAGGCCTACGGACCTATCATCTAGAGCTGAGACGGGTAGTAAATTTGGACAATGAGGAGTTGTCAATGTTGTTCTGCAACATCACCGAGGTAGGTAAAACTTCATATTATCACATGAGGTCAATGTTATGTTGCTTTTTCGGGCTTTCATTACAATGCTCAGCTGACGTAAGGTGACTATGGTAACGAAGCTAGGTGAAACAAGAGAAAATCAATGGTCGAGTCAATTGAAAAGAGGTTACAATAGCAGATAGGTCATATTACTAGGGATGTCAGGTAGAAACGATGGACGAAGTACGAATGTATCAAGGAACCACAGATGGCCCTAGTCGATGTTATCTCTATCTGTGACATATACTGTCGGCTTATTTGTGGAGAAGGCGTTATTCTTCACGGGCACCTGATGTTCTTCAGACGGTTCATTACTGCCCTTAGTGACACGCATGCGTTCTTCATCCACCAGTGTACGATTGGTGAAGTTCGACACGGTGTTAGGCAATGTGTTCGTTTTTGAAGTTTCGTGTAGTGGTCAGCGCAAAATAAGTTGCTAACTCACTCCAACCGCACAGAGCGGTATTGCCCTCAAACTTCGAACCATCCCCTCTTGGGGAAGCGTGGTCTGTCTGACCAAGGTACTCGCAAGTTCGCTACATCTCTAGGTTGCCGTTGTAGTCGCTTCTCACCTACTAGGTTACACTTACAATGTGTTGCGATTTATTTTTTACTGGATCACTGAGAGTCTGGTCGGGTGCCAAGGTTCATACAAAGAGGACCATAACTATAAGCCCGCGATTTTAAGGATAGATTCCAATTCTCTGAGACGTACCCTGCTATCACGATAGGAAGGAGAAGGCATACGGATAAATGAATGGCAGACTGACTTTTAGGGTCCTGGTGTGTGGACATAGCCAAACTTGGCATTAAAAAGTATGTATGGGTAGGTGTTAGAGGGACCAATACCGTCAAACCGAAATGGCGAGAAAATCTAGAATTCATTTCTTAGAACTACGAGTTGGCAACGCTTCCTATACGGAGTGAGAGCGCCTTAACAACAACAGCTGACAGCGCAGTCGTTGAGCTAAGCCAATAGTCAAGTGCAACACAGCTTAATCATCTTTGGACTATGAATGCGTTCACTCAGTGCAGAATCCTTATCTTTCCAACGGTGGCGTCTAGAACTGCGGCAATGATGGAGTATGTACATCTGATATAAGAACCCCTCAGCGTATTCATCGTTCGATATTTGTCTAGCGAACTGGATCGTTGGCTAAAAGTATTTATGGTCCCACAAGCCACTTCATTGCGTGAGTGTTATGGTCGTTTTTCGAATTATGACTACCCAGTAATTGCACTCTGAGGTTATGGAATGGAGTTCAACTATAAGGGTTTAGTTTTAGCCCACTTTGCGATCTTATAGCTGTGTGAATCGAGGAACGTTATATGGTATCCATGGTATGCCTGACTTGTAGATCTTTAAAGAAAACTACTACCTGGTTAGGCGAAGGCACATACTCATTCGTACGCCCACAGTATATTACATGGACGTTGCTGGATCCATGCACAGCGTCATTTGAAGATCCGATAAGCTAACCGGGTCTAGTTGGTGATTGCTTTTGACGACTGAAGTGTTCTTTAGTTCATCAAGTTTAGTAAGGCATTTTCATACAATTCTACTCGTTTTCAGATCGCTTCTCAGACCTGGCGACTATCACAGAATTTGTTCGAAAGTTGTCTCCCTTACACACGTAGTGATGATATGGAAATCTCCGGTCCTTTTCACCGAAAACCGACAGGACCCCGAACGTTCGGTTCATATAATGGGCAACTAAACAGTGGTGTTGGTCGTAATGTGGAGAATGACGCGTTCAATCGGAAGCCGAGTCTACTTCAGCGCATACGTAAGAGTTTTGTCGGTAGCCTGTCGAGGAAGGAGAAGCTTCCAACCAAACCAGCAGGCTCCCATTCGATCGGAAGTACCATGGCTAACAGAGACGCGGGGATCGCAAACGAGTACGAACAGGATTCTCGGGTGCGTTTCTCTCCAGAGCATGGACATCTGGACAATCCGGGAGGCCTAGTTTTCACATCGTTACCACTGTTATTGAAAAGTTGCGCATCGTATTCTGCAAGCTACCTGACGACGTTGCGGTATGTACATGATATGAAAAAGCGGCATCCGGATCTCCGGACTTATTTGCGAGTAAGTTTCCGTGGTTTTATCGTTCTGATCAGTCAAACTTCATCCTTTTCTCGGTGTACGTGTAGCGGTCTTGTATTAATACATCTGAGCAAGGTCACTGAACGCTATGTAGATTAACCTGGAACAAAACTCGTAGGGTGCCACTTCATGCAATATGTGTAAACCGATCCATTAGTACTCTGGAACACAAAACTTTGCTCACCTCTTGTAAATATTTATTAAAACCCCCCTTCGATCCTGAGATGTGCATTTTCAAACACACTTGAGCTTCAGAATGAACTGACCCGTAGCACGATTCGTTCAATTGTAGCAGCTGCTACTACACTTAAGGTGTCACACAGTGAAACACACTGTACTCTCATTTTAAGAGACTAACCGGAGGAGTTGAATGGTATAAGCAGAAGTTCATCACATCTAGACTCAGTCGGATAGGCATCACACGCACAGAAAAGCACCGTACGGCTGTTTCATCTATTCGGGAATCATCAGCAGCGCCCATTCCATCCCATTCATGCGTGGTTGGAACCCGCAACTGGATTATTACCAGTCTGTAGTTATGACCACTGGCCTACGGAAAAATGGTAGTAGCCGACGCTACTAAGTTACTAGATGCTATGTAGCGCTGTTCACAATCCACTGACTTGCACGTTACTGCCGTGCAGAGGGCAGGTTGGCCTCCACAACAAGCGACAAACTTATCATACGTAGGCCACGGTCTGGTAACAATCGGCTTGCGGGCGCTAGCCTCACAGGTGGCAGCATTTTGTAGACCTACATTCTGTACGGCCCAGCGCCGTCATCACATTACAACACAAGTGAAGTAGTCTTTCGACCATTAACTGATGCATTGCTTTGTCACCATGACAGATTTTGGGCAAGCGGTCTGAAATAAAACGATAGGTAGGGCTGTGTCATAAGTATTACTTTAAGGTTTGCACTAGGCAGTACAGTAATTCTCCCATTTGTTTTACCTTGTCGCCATTTCTTTTATGTCCGTTGTATCAAATGTGGGCGTCAACAAGTGCTTATCGGGTTGGTAATTCCTTATGCAAGACAATGACGAAAGCAGCAGTGTTAATAGATGGGCGTTGTACACCCAAACGACCATCCATGTCCCCAACCACGTAGGCGGAGATATACAATGACGTAGCATGAAACACATGGTTGCTGAGTGTGCTTTTTCTTACATTTGATACCTTTCAGCTTCAGAGCATGAAACCCGAGGTACCAACATTGCTAAACTTTCTCTCCACGCCTCAAGAGGTGAGTTGGCCATCCTTCTATCCTGCTTAAATAACTGAATCTGATGCTTTTGCGCAATTACAACTCGGCAAATTCAGCACGTGTTAATGATCGGATTGACGTGGTCTGAATAGCAGCACCAGACCAAAACATTGTTCCATCACGAAGGACGTCTGAGTTTCTTCCTGTAATATAACATAAATTGGAACTGATTCACGCGACGAGTTTCCACCTGACGCTATTCGATGCTGGAGCCTGCGCGTGGATTTCGATCTTATGGTCACGTACGCTGGAGAATTGCTGTGTTTTGTTGTATACTGTCCGTGGGCATATTTCGTGTTTGTGGTGGTGACAGACTAGCGCACCGAAAGATTCAATGGCGGCTGATCGATCGGACCAGGAATTGGATTTATGCATGGTATAACATGTGCCTTTGTCCACAGGAAAATATTCTGCTCTCTATCTCCAACGCATCGCATTTTGGCATGTTGATAAAATAAACGAGCCAACGTCGAAACTGACCATTATTTCATCCGACTCAGTATTAATACCGAACACCTTTCGTGCTAACGCATGTTCTTTACGAACGTATTCGTTCGTCTTTTCATCCCTTCAAATAGGCTAGCCAACTATCTAGCTAGTTCATACGTCGGGGAACCTATACCATCTACAACAGGTCGGATGAGTAAAAACCTCATCTGTAGAAAGCCGGTACGCAGTGCTGATGCTTCGCTGCGGCGCAACCACTACAAGTCGCACGTGAGCTAAGGATACTGCGACGGTCACCCGGTCCCCTACGGCTGGAACACGTGCCGTCGGATTATAATGCATCGTTCTCCTTAAGACCAAGGGCGGTCGATTGGGTACCTTAGGTTTAGGTAAATACCGTAAACCATAGACCCTCATTTGAAGGGTTGATTTCGGGTATCTGTTATACCATTTACTAGGCCCTAGTCGATCCTTTATGTTCCTTGAGTATTTACCAACCACTGACTTATTCGTCACTGATGTGACATTCACATTGTAGATTGCCTTATATGGTCACCTCACTAGGTGCTCCTCCATTTTTTTCCAAATAATCTGACTTCTTTATAATCACTGTGGTCTCGCCTTCATCGGCATTTGTGATACAGTCCAACCTGCTTTGGCGACCACCTGTATATAAATAAATAAAGTTTTTATTCCCGACAAGGCCAGGCACGCGTTTACAGGCATGATCACGTTAACAACGCGTGATCAAGAATGTACAAAAATCCGATGTGTTTGCCATAACAGTGTATTTTGGTGTAGGGATGTATATACGTATGCAATTGTGGGTGTTACCCCATGCTGTAGCTGATGTTGTATTCATAATGCTTCTTCACCGTAGTTGGGCTAAACCGACTTAAACTAGGTCTTTTTAAGCTGGATAAATTTCATTCCACTTTATTTGCTTTGTTCTGCCTACCTGAATAATCTTCTATTAACTGGTACTCGTTGCTTACGCTAATTGTGGTTATTTCCGTTAACTTATTTGCGTTTTCGGTATATTTTGAATAACTTGTGGACTTTTTATACTTGTCGCGGATTCATTGCTAACCAGCTTACTTCCTTTGATAATTTACCGAGGAGTTATGTCTGCATAAGCGTCTGCTTTAACAGATATATTTCTTTGATGTCATTTCAAGTAATTGGCATCTGTTTGACATCCCCGGTGTGGCTACGCTTGATATGCATGTTGACAAGGTGCCTACCTGTCTATTACCCACTACCTCGTCCATACTGGCTCCAGGAGACAGTTGGTCGTTGCTGGAGGGGACGGGGTGCACGTTCCTTGTGGTCGTGTTAGGATCAAACAGTGACTCCATGCACTCAATTTGGAGCGGACTACGGTCCAGCCACCGCCTTGTGTGCACTTGATTCCCCAAATACAGCGTGCTTGTGTTTGCCTGTGAAGGAGTGTGGGCCGGCTCCGTTGATGAAAAGTGGCTCCCATCCACATGGCCCCCGGTCTTATTCCTTCGGGTTTACACTGGATATGGGGTGGGTGTTTAGAGTTGTGGGTGGTGCAGCGCAAGCCACCCATGGTCCCTCTGTAGGTGCAGGCGTCCTGTGTCTGGCCACAGTGACAGGCAAATCCGGAAACGGATGCCGCCAAGCAGTTTGTGCTTGTAATTTTGCTGCTCCATTCTGGAGTGTTCGATATGGTCGGCAATGTAGAAGTAGAAGATTGATGTCCGTGGGTTGGAAAGGATTATCCGGATATCCTCGGGACAGTGACTTTATTTTGTGGTGAGTCATGACCGCCACATCGCAGTGTTGCTAAGCAGACATTTGTGGCTTTTTATAGGGAGAGAGCTTGATAGGCGAAAACCCGCCACGTCCTGGAACACTGCCACTGAACTATTTTCTGGAACGGGTTAAATCCAAACCACCCTAGTGGCACGACGAGGTTGTTCGGCTAGTCACCAGTCTATGGCGACCAGTTTAAACAACCCCAACATTCTATGAGTAATGTCCCTATCCATGAACCTGTCCATAGCGACCACTTTTTGTCGGTCCCTTGAGTGGCCATTTTAGACAAGTTTGACTGTAATAATGTTCGCATCTCCTTTTAGGGCAGTTACTGAGACACGTTCCTCTGGTGCAAGGTTTGGCTCTTCCAACTACTTAAATATCATAAACTCTACAAGTTCTGCACGAATATTCTCAGACGCTGAAACGGGTAAATCGTTACACCGGCTTCAACGCTAGGTGTAAGCGACAAATTCGCTTGGGACTCGAGTCGCTTCTTCGGCGCTTTGTACTCTACCGCCTGTCGTGAAAAGTGGAGGGATTCCATGCTTCAATTTACGAAGCTTATTGACATGCCTATACAGCAGTTTGTTGTTTGCCATGAATTTTTTGGCTAGGCACTGTTGATAAGTTACTTTGTCCTCACGGACAAGTGCAGTGCAATGGTTGCGATGGGTCAGAAAATTGCCCCAAGTCTCTGAGTCGGGGTTAATCTTGTAAGCACGCCATGCTGCATCCCTTATCGCCAGACATTTTCGAGTCCTGCTCCTTAGAATTGAAGGCATTTTTGCGGGACGAAAGGGCTTGGTCTCTGATGCTCTGTTGACGATGTCGCTGAATCTATTAACGAACTCTGCCCAAACGTTGTCAAGGGGACTTTTGTTTGAGAATTCCCAAGCAGCTGCGTCGACGAGTTCTTTCAATACGTGGTAGCGTGTGATTGTATGAGTTAGTTCCGAGTGTTCAGATGGATACTCTGCATAACACACATAGTCAAAAGTTATTACTACTTGGTCACTGAGACCTAATGGACTATGCATCAATAACTTGTCAATCATGAGCTCGCCATTCGTGAACACAAGGTCCAATATGGACGGTTTGTTTGCTGTCCTGAATCTAGTGGGCATGGTGACATGATTGTACAAGGGAATATTAGCGATCAGTTCCTGCAAGTCTGCTTTGAACTGCTCACTGGGCGATGTCGAAACCTCCAGTTTGTGTAGATTGAAGTCCCCGGAGATGAGAATGTGGCTGTACCTAGTGCGTGTTACTCTGTTCAGGCCACGGATCAAGCAGGAATCCATTTCCAGAGTGGACGTTGGGGGGCGGTAAACGACAGCTACGAGACATGCGTCGTTGTGTCTTAGTCGGAGACGGCACCAGAGTGAGTCGGTAACGTGTGTTTCCAGATCATCAACTATTGTACATTGTAGATCGCTGCGGTAGTAGAGTATGACCCCACCTCCTCTGCTGGGGCGGTCGTTCCGGATGAGTGACATTCCGGCTATCTCAACCTCAGCATCAGTCACCTCTTGATGTAACCAAGTTTCGGTAATAGAAATTAGGTCCCAAGCATTCGCAACCTGACGTAGTCGAAGTTCGGTAAATTTACTGAGGAGCCCTTGGGCATTAGTGCACATACTTTAAAGTTTCTCAGATTTAAGCAATGTTTCGGAGGTTGTATAACTCATATGTGAAGTTTCGCCTACCAGTGAGTGGCCGGCGACTAATCGCTTTTTCGATGTGTACTTGGTGAAGGGTTTAACGTTTTATTCATCGTCCGTATTGTTAGTTCCGTGTCTAATCTTCGACGTACAGTGTAAGGTGTCTGGCCAATATCATCTTTTACAGATTGTATGGGCTCATTCGACACACTACTGGTGCATTGTTCTTTCATAGATCCCATCGCGTTTGGTTCTTTGAGTGACATATCATCTCTAGGATGCATATCGATGATTGTCTTCAGCCGAACCTCAGATGGTAGCCTGCAACGGAACATGTACCAGCATTTTAGCATCCGTGCTACCATATGTTTTGACTGTAGGACCACCTTCAACACTCTCGGGCCACTTCCTTTGTAGTTCGGTGAGGTACGCAGTAGTGACACGGATTTCGCTAACATATCATCCAAGCAGAGTGTTTCACGAATGTAACACCACTGTTCTTTATCATGGGTTGTTACTTCATGCTCATCACATGCTTCAGTTTCAGGAACCCTGTGAAGAAATACCGTTCTGGTTGAAGTTTCCTTCCAGTAGTCCTCTAAGGTGCGGTTAACTCGATAACGCTCGCCCCATGGGATGTCTGGAAAGATACGGATGGAGCAGCGTTCATTTCGGAGAGTACCTGTCGACAGTAGTACTGATTCCACTTCAGTGACGGAGTTCAGCACAACGCGCAGAAGTCTTGGCTCTCCGAAATGCTTAGAGTTGGGGTGTCGTGTAATACGCACTACGTGTACAGGTTTCAATACAACTCCGATTAGGTTACTAATAATATCCCACTGATTGAGGTCATCCAACTGCCTGCCTCTTATCGATGTCGACTTTGATTCTGGGATATTGGAGCACAGTACGCTCAGTACAGGTAGTTGTTTCTTTACACCTTTCGACATGTCGCGGTTAGTGATCGAAGTACTCGGAGATGTACCGCAGGTAACCGGTGGTGCTTGCACTAGGAAAACTCCGCTACGCTCCTCAGTTTCCGATCCAGTTGGGGGTGATGTTAATTTTAAATGAAGGCTCTTCTTGGAGGCAACCGTAACCCAATTTTCGCTCGTACCGGCTTGGTCTTTTTCTACCCACTCCGTCGGGAGTTTGGAAGTAGCCTTACGTGTAGTTACTCCGATCGAACCGGGAACCGCTTTAGTCAAATGTGAGCCACGTGTGGTATTGAGACAGCTGTTGATGTTCTGGACTCTAGGTGTTGTGTTGCTTACGGTGTTATTAACATTTATTCGTGGGTTAGAAACAGCAAGCAAGTGGAAGGATTGGGTTGCACAGTGCGCTATGCTTACCCCAACCATAGTGATTTTGATGGTCACCATTTCCTCAAACTTGGCTAGTAGCTGATCATAGTTCTGAGATAATAGTAGCACGTTTTTTATCGGTGGGATCGATGTGCATCCGACGCAGAACCATAGCGAGTCTGGTTTGTTTAATAAATTGGCCTGACTAGGTTTAACTCGGAGGCATCTCGCATGGAAGAACTTGCAACAGTTACGACACAAAATGCCCCCCTTAACAAGTTTGGAACATAATCCACATAGGTCTTTAGTCGGTGGCGCACTGGGCATCACGCTTGTTGAGCAAATGTTACGGACCATTTGAATGACTCACCCTCTATGGCGAAACGTCGTTCTGTTATTGACGTTGTCGGCAAGGTCACAGTGTTCACGTTGCGGTTGTGTGCTTGTAGACTGTCCTCTCTGGCGTGCCAGTCGAATGTGTCAGCTTGAACGTGGGGCAGAATACACGAAGGTGTGATTGAGAATTCTCGTGGTTTAGCCTAAGGATCGCGCCGGGTGAATTTGCTTTGAGACCTGTAGCTTCACCAAGCAATGTTGGATTTGAACGAGTGGCAGTTCGTTCGAAAGCCGTTGAAATGGTATATCGAGTGAGACGAAACAATGTCTCCGATGGTTGGAGTTAGGTAACTTTCGTCGCTTGGATATCTGCGAAACCCTGGTCGGAATTTAGAAATCAGGGTAAATGTAGGACGCAATGGAGTATACTTGGGAAACTGGTATCACAAAGTAGAGCTTGTAAAAGCACGACGAATAAGTATGGATCCAAAGGTGTGCGACAAAATGTCGCTGAACCACAGTTAAAAAACCACGAGTGCACAAGTGAGCGATTAGCACGCGACTTCTCTCAAGGTCAGTGGAAATTTGTGCGCTAATCTTTTGTTGTGATTTCTAGGAGCATTTTGCGCGAACAACCAAATTCTTTGGTTCAAAAACCTAACCTCAAGTTAGTGGGAGTTTGGTAGTGGGTTACGGGAAGTCCAGTTGTAGTATATGGAGCCACCCCTACCCTGAAGGACAATGAGATTGAAGGACCATGAGACTGAATTTGTGTACCCTCTAACCATTGGCCCATCTGGTATGAGTGGCTCCAAAGGTTCATAAAGCATCACTCAGCACGGCACAGTGGATCACTGGGGTACACAAACCATAACATCATGATAAGTTTCAGTCTCATTGAGATGGTGAGAATCTATTGAGTGAACAGATATTCTGCTACATCGATTAGTGGTGTCATCTCAATGTACGACACGGATGCCTGGAAAAAATTGCACTAGCGCGTCGATCCCCAAGAGACTTTTTGGATTGTCCCCGTCCAGATATTTGGTTCAGGCCTTGAGAACTATGTGCAGTTCTTTGGACTCCAGTGAATGCTGCACGTGTGCTTAGGTGGTCTGGGTATTCTAGTAGAATGCCATCCGAAATTTTGGTTAAAGTGATGCATACCCCAGTTTCTTGTTGACGAGGGGGGCTGTTCTAGGAGGTGGAGCATCAACATACGAAATTCATTATTTCTGTGGAAGCGGCTATCAGCAATTGTGTTTTGCCTATTTTCCTATGTTGCGTATTCTCCTCGGTGAATGTTTACACTTTTTCATTTTGTGCTCATTCCAAATTGATCTAAGTCTTTGTGTGCCCTATGCTTCAGCCACCTCTGCTCCCATCCACTGTTATGTGTGGGTGTGTGTGTGTGTGTGTGTTACAGATACATTGACGCAGTTCACAGGTTTCTTTTTGTCACTTGCGTGCACTCTGTTCGCCACAGCTCCAGCGCTGCCTGCTGTTCGAATTGCAAAAAGTGAGAAAACACACTGTTTCACAGCACAAAGACAGAACCTTTTTGGATGAGTGTATATTGCGTAAGTCTTTCTGGTCTTTTTTGTGCATTCATTCCATATTGGAAAACATCAATTTAAGGAACCAGTCCGATCGATGAGATCGTATTTGTTCTATCCAACTTGTGGTCGCTGTTTGTCTGCGCGCAGCGCTTTATGAACTCGCGAAGGATTCCGCAATATTGACTCGCTTGGTGGGGTGATTAGAACCGGGTTGCACCAACTACAGCAACGGAAACAGCATATAAATACACATGGAAGATAGGGACACCTTTTTCAGGGTTATGGTGTTGTCGACGCAATTAAATGTACCGTACAACTTAGAGCTCAAACTGGACAGCTCATTAGCTATTCGGTAGGGTTTCTTGACAGCTCTATTCAGGATTAAGTTCTGGATAGAATACTAAGACCAAATTACCACTGGGACAGAATGTTTAGGTTTTCGATAATTTTGTGCTTAAGTGATAATTTTGCGATATCGTGACTGATGGTAAAACGCGCAACCATAGGCATAGATCTTACCTTTCCTATAAGCAGAACTGCAATCGTTTGCTAGGCGCAGGGGTTTAGGTGATGCGACCCTGGCTTTTTCCCACGAACTGTGACCGTACAATTATGCTCGCCATGGGGCTCATAAGTAGTAGTTGCTAGGCGAATGGTGGATGCCATGTTCGTGCAATTGATGCGCAGAGGTTGAGATCCAAGCGGTTCACAGATCACAGATAGCTTAGATATCAGTGTCGCAATAGTAAAAGAATTTGCTGTCCCTCATCTTTGTGAGAATCACTACGATATGTGCCTAAGCGCCTAACGAAACAGCGGTTTGATCGTACTTATGTTGTACGTCGCATTTGCTTACTGCGATTAGTTGATATGGACTATCCTATTTGGACTATATTGTACAACTCATGGCAGGGTATTCGTCATGGAAAAGACAACTCCACGGGCAGCCGAGAGCAATTTCGAGCTTCTGTTCACCCAGCTATCTTTTCGTGTGTTTAATACATTTTATTTGGCGCCACAAGACAGCCTTATTACGGCTGGCGACTAACAGCAGCGATTCCCTCTCAGTAGTAGGGATCTGTGATATGGTGGGGGATACGTGACGAGCCAGGAGGATACATGGCGCAGTGGTTCAGTCGGGTTCTGGACTCGAGTTCCGGCGCCTGCATGCATTTAGTCGTCCCTGCACTATCCCCACCAGCCTACAACCGTTTACGTGGTTACCTGACAGTGTGGCATCAGCACAAGATCGTCACGTAGACTGTAAACGTTCCTAACTTCTGACTTTTATCGATGCTGTTTGACGGTTGCAGTACGTATCCATTTTTGAAAAATAGCCTTATGAACTAAACATTTATTACTTTTCTGACGACTGGGTCCACCGCAGTTTGATGCACTGACCACAGTTTCGAAGCTGAACTGAGTTGAGCTGCTTACAAGTTAGACCACTCAACATCTCGCTCATGCGAAATAATGCTTGCCCGTGTGTTCATGCTCCTATCCGTAGTGCTCAATGAGGCAATGCTTGGAGATCCGGGAGACAGGATTGCGACGCCTGAAACGTTGAGACGTCGACCAGAAGGCAGTGAAGTTCCCGATCACACAGTCGCCACCAGACAAAATGGATTCCATCGTGGGGATATGGATCATTCTCCTGAGTGGACCTCCTCCCAATCCCCTACTGGCGGTAGTCACACCGTGTGTAACACGTCACTGGGCATATGCTCACAATTCCTCTCTGGTGGTGATAAAGAACTTCATCAGCTCATTCATCTAGCTCGCCCACCTGCGTTCAATCTTGATTCACCTTCGCAACTGAGTTGCGCTCAAGAGTCCGGTTTAATCTGTGACCAATGTATCATATTTCGAGGTCCCTTGAACTGTGCGCTTGGGCAGCAGATAAATGAACAAGATAAGTCCGGTTCCCAATTCCAAGAACTGTACAGAGGTCAGGTAAGTCCCTGTAACAGGTAAAATGAGCAATTCTTTTGCACAGTGTACTTGACAGCGAAACCTAGTCTTCGGGATTGCTTCTAGCGCTTGGTGCTGGAGAACCTCCAGTTCACGTACTTGGAACATGAGTTGTATGCGCATACACTGGTGAGGCCCATACACTCCTTCGATGGTTGATCACAATGTTAAAGCGTATTTAGAAGCCTTATCTAGCGACCTTCAGATTCCTGAAGCCGATTTGGAATTCACAGCTGGATGACAGACACATCGCGTGGTCGCACACTTTTGGCAGACATTTTGACGAGCACACCGCCGCGTTTTCACTCCTTTGACTTGGATTTACCAGAGTATTCTGTGGACCCTCACTTCCAACTTTACTCATCACACTCCAGCGCTTCTTTCACTTTTGCGATTCTAAACAACTGTTACCGAGACCCACGCTCGCAATACTTTATCTTGTTGCTGATCGAAAATCTTATCTTCCATCGAAAAGCACTTCTAGAGTGATTTGCCTAGACTATAATTATAATCATACAAACATATTTCTGGTGGCTGCGTCCTTCCACCTATTGTAAGTACAAACCTCACAGCTCAGGCAATGTCTGTACGAAATGTGAGTGATGAGTGTTCGATGTGTAATGACCTTGTAGTGCCGGGTTTTGTTCTGACCGCGTAACTCCGCTTTACTCAACTCTGTCACACCCACTCCTGTGGTCAAGTTAGCAGGTTCGCAACTAGTGAAGACTGTTACTTGGGCTTACTGCTTTGAGGTGTGTGCTTTGTGTTGGTTAGCCCTGGCAATTTGAATGGCCTCCTAAACTTTCCATCAGTTATCAAATAGTTAATAGCATGTCCGGCAATTATGATAAGCGAGGACAATGGCTAGAACACTTTGACCGAAGAAGATTCTTGACTTTAAAACCTGTACCCCACGACCACAAGAAGAAGTCCAAAGACGAGCCAGAAACGACTTGTATACATGAAATCACGTTTGCTTACATAGTTTTGGAGGCAAATTGAAGGGAAACTACTAAGTTACACTTGGGCCAACCAACAGAAGGAAAACGCCAAATGCAACGGCGAATAAGCAATCGTGTGCTCAAGAGCGAATCGCATATGTCCTTAAAAATTGCATCATGGGACCCTAAGCGTAAAGCGAAAATCCAGTTACAGTGACGGGCACTGGCCAATCAGAATAAAGAAACCTAACGTTTAAACAAATGTCACGAAACAAAGGAGAATAAGGAATACAGACATAAAAATTAAAAACTAGTACAATAATCGTGTGACAACTAAATAGCCCTTTATAATAAATAACTAGAAAAGTGATGCGGAGGAAAACCAATGGAATGTGTCCTTACAAATGGCACTGCTGAAGTGAGCACGGAGAAGAGGGTCCACTAACAACGACGTCTGTGTACCAATCGGGCTAACACAGTAGAGCGTTTAAACAACAGTTGAAGTAGAAAATAGGAAGAGTAAAGAATAGCTATTATGCTCGTTCACAAAATATGAATGTCTAATAGCTGTTCCTAATAGTACGAATGGGGATTTCCCCTTGTAGTTGCAATACAGTATTGTTACCTGCAGTCCACTCAGAGGAGAAGAACTGACGGCACAACATGGCCTGCTATCCATGGGGCTGCACAGACTGTTTTCGGTTGCCACCCACGTTTGTTGCAGAAATAAGATAAACCGGTAGAGATAATTGGTAGAGCAGATGTTATAGGAGTGTAGTGAAAAGGGGATTTGCTCCTACTTTTGGAGATTCGCCACAAATACACACTCGGTCGGACAGTAGATGGTCGTTTACTCCTTTCGAGACTCATCAGTGGTACACATTACCGAAATGATCAGACCGACAAAGATTCGCTGAGAATTGAACCAAATCCCTCACTTTATTGGGCCCGAAAAAATTAAGTTTATTATTTTTCGGATGTGCAGTGGTTGGGTGTGTGTGTTTGTGTGGCGAATCCCCTTTCGAAATAACGGCTAGCTAATCTGGAAGCGGATGTGGGAAATCGACGCTTAAGTCTGAGTTTCAATTAAGAAGCAAGGTTGCTACCGAAACATAAGGTCTTTTCACCAGATTTCTGACAATCAGAAGTTCTAACTGAAACAATGATCGAGGTTTATTGAGTTTAGCGAGAGTTGTCTCGATTCCAAGAGTTACTCCCGAGCTTTCTTCTGTCTTGTACACCTCACCGTCTCACTGGGATCTAGTCAACACAGCTGGAGGCCCTGATTGTCCGCCGCCGCAGTCCACATGCATAGTGGTGTTAATGGTCCTACCTGCGGCGGCCGAAATGTGCGCACTTGTAATGCTGCCACTTTAACAGCGCGAATTTCAACCGCACCCTACACCCTCCTCTGAATTGGCGCCTACGAAATGGAATTACTGCAGTTGAATTATTGCGGTGTTTCTGAGTCTTACGTGAATTCGACAACAGACACGCTGCATCCCGTCATGAAATGGTAGATCCTCATTTTCCAGTTAACCGTAGTCCAAGCTAAACCGCCTACAATGGTATGCATTGTAGGACAGAATTTGGTTCACTACTACGAACCACGATTCCTTTCTACAGCAGTAGTTGGGAGGATAGATGAAGATCACCCTCCTATCTCCGATTCGCATCGTGCAGCACTCGGGTCTTCCCGGAAGGGGTTTTAATCCGGACGACTACATTAACCGAAGCGACATTGTCCCTTGATTTTCAGACTTCCGATGAACAAGTGGTTCAAGCTTATGACCGATGGGAGTAGAGCTACACCTGCGAGGCACTATCCCTAGAAGATGCGATCCGCATGTTGGCGTTAACGTTCTCCCTGTTAGGCGAATATAAAGGGCGGTATTCCTACTCCACTCACAGGATGTATACTGTGCCACCTAGGCGAGAGGCGGTCAATAGACTTGACTACCGGATAGCCTTTCCACTTCAGTTTTACAGCCTCACATGACCTAAGAGGACTGGTGTCTGTGTCTGTTCCATCATTAAAGGAGTTATCAGGAATTTGTCCAATCTGTAGTCCCGATGATATTCGATTTCTATCTGTGCGAATGCATGGGGTCCTTATTTAAACGGGGAGGGGAGTCGTGTTGAACCCCCGAGCTACCACACAATGTTCTCGTTCCACAACTTTGACCGCGGAATAATTCATCAGTTATTGAAGAGGTGAAATATCACTGTGCTACGTGTGCAAGACAGACACTGTGGTGGCGACTGACACAGTGAATCGAGATTTTTCGAAGGCTATTGAGTAGCAGGATCACCGTATCCTCCTTTCAAGCTTCATTGCCATAACAATCATGATCATGTCTTGGATGGCCAGGCAATCTCCTTTTTCGGATTGGCGTTCAACCCGCCCGAACTTCAACGTGGCGTGCCACAGGGATTGTTACTGGTGCCACGTCAGCGCTTTGTGTCCATTAATGAGCTTGCGAGAGTGGTAGTCCTCAAGTTCATGGTCTTTGCTGATGAATTCAAGCCAGGGGGTAGTTTCAACATAACAAATGGCCACACATCGTCACAATGTGACCTTGCAGGAGATTATCTGTGATTCATCCAGCACAGCTCCACTTTAATGGCCTAAGATGCGAACATTCGCTCATGAAATCTCGAGCATCCAAGAATCCCGAATCGGTGGACGGATAAAGCACTGCACTCCTCCCGATCTCGATGTATAGGTGCTGTAGAACCTCAGATGCTCGAGGTGTATCCGGAAACAACCAAGAAGTGCTAGTTAACACTGAATTATTAACAAGGGCGTCCGAACAGTTAGACTAGCCAACCTTCTCCCCAATCTAAAGCGCATGTGTGCGATCCCACGCTGGGCACGATACCCGGTCCTCGCCGTATCGGTAAAAGGGCTGTCACATTTCGCTTGGGCTTTCACAGCGCTTGGGAGCAAAATTATGGGAGGATTGTGCCAATGTCCGTAAGGCGAAGGACAAAAGTAAAGTAACCTTTTCAGTGGAGGGCGCCTAAGGGGTGTGCAACGGCAGCAGACCCAAATCGTACTTGTAAGCACTTATGGAGATTACGACGACACGGGTCTGAGAGGTAAGGTGGTTGCTTTGCACGCCACTATTCCCTCTGCACATTAGCTGTCTATAGAACGCTCTTCTAGCAAGAGATTAAGAAGCGAATCGATGGGTGCTTTTCACCGAGAACATTTAGTGTTTGAATTGCATTCTGAAGCGTTCGAGCATGAAAGATCTTCCTCCGCGCCGTTATCCCAAGTAGACGAATACGAAGTTTCGAGTATGCATGAACAATAAGCATTACCCCATTACACTGTTTAACCGACATCAAATCTTGGTTGCAAGCCTATCGCTGACTGACAAATTCAACCCGAACAGTCAAAAATACTTGCCAAACAGTCGGTGTCTGGCTCATGGTGAATCACTTTCCTACTGATCGCTGATGCCTGAAGCTTCGAGTAAACGTTCACTTGCAATGATAAGCTGCATCTCACACTTTCATACAAGCTACGAAGTGAAAGCACCAGTCTCAGATGGACCGGCATTGATTGTGTGCCCTCGGCGGAATCCTTACCGAAGACTTGGATCGAACGAGGATTACTACTGGTTAGAACTAAGGGCCGATGTACGTATGTCCGGTGTAGTATTACTAGTAAAACTTCAACCATTCCACATAAAAGTAAACCAGTGCTGAGTCCCACTCTGCTTTCAGTGGAGTTCAGTGTAGATGATGCACAACCGCCCTTTTCAACTGGCTGAATAGCCTCAGTTTTCAAAACTACCGCGTTTATGTACCTGTGTACCGAACCATTAAGTTTGATTACCACGGTTACAGGCTAACGACAATAATCTTTGTCGTACCTGTTCAAACTGCAGCTGCCATTCAGATGGTTCTGGAATGAATTGCAGCGCAGAGCTCAGTTATCATTATCAGTCACATTGTTTCGAAAACTATTTTTTAATGTTTATAGGCCGTTGAAGTGAATAAACAGCTGTTAGCCGTTACTATTGAGAGGTGGACAAATGCCAAATTTTATTGCTCATTTCAGGTTTTCATGTATTTGTTGACTAACACTCTGTTAGTCGTTCAATCCGCCGAGGACCTTTTGATCTCGCGAACTCCGTCACAACTTTTATGTGGCCCAGTTTCATTGAGTGAAATACGCAGCATGGAATTCAGCCTCGGTAAGTGTAGGTACGAGCTGTAACCGCGAAGTACCGATTTTTCCAGGTCCATAAACCGGAAACATTAGTTAAAACTGTTTACTTTTCATGCAGATAGAAACTGCGATATAAACCGTTGCCTTTGAAACTAGTGGGTTAAATCGACTCACGTTGCACGTCTGTTGCTGTCTGAAAATATAGGCTATATATAATAGTGCAACGTTACTGTATCGTGCGCTACTCCAGCTCCGCTTCTTTGATACACTTATCCGACAATGATGATCATTTGACAGGGATATAAATGAGAAACGAAGAAATCTGAAACGGAATGTGTAAAGCAAGATAGTCGGATCCAGTGTACATCCGAATCACGCCATAGTTTCAACTGTCAACGGTCCCGACGTTTTCGCTTTGAAGTGTCCAGTCGCAGTGATTCTGTGCACTGTCTTCTGGCACTGGCTTCCCTTGAGTGCTTTGAAGATGGCATGCCTAGAGTAAGCAGTTGTGTGTCATAGTGTACATTACCTAGCCGTCCCGTTTGACCTGGCTTGTCCTCGGTGGAATAGCACACCGGAGGTCGGGACGTACATCAGACAGTGATCATTGTGGCAGCAATGATGGATGTGATCCCCAGTGAATTAATCTGTCCAACTGTGTCGCGGCATGTATGTCCGTAAATCCGCTAGATCTTGTAATTTCATAATCGTTATGTAGGCTGAACGGGAAACTATTACAATGATCAAAGTCACGAGCACAGCGGTGACTTTGGAATCGATGGTTGTCTTAGACCCCAATGTCAGCCATTAGATACTGTACCGGCTTGCGTGTGGCAGCCAGGTCACCCGCTCTAGGGCGCTATTTCACAGTTAGCGGTGGAAAATGCACCAGTTACGCAAACCACACGGTTAGATACCGTACTACAAGGGAACTTCTTGTTGCTAGTTATTTGTTACTCGTTCCCTGAACTCAGTGCGGATTCCCTCACCCGTCCAATCGAGTGTCCAAACAGTTGACATAAGACAGCCTACACGAAGCCTGCGCGCTCAGTATGGGACCAGTTTTGTGGGGTTGCTTAGAAGCCGATAATTTTGACTTCACTGGCATATCGCTAGTGTGGTGATAGCGTTAAACTGGAATAAGTAACCTTATACACAGCGTCACAGCCCCTATGCCTCATCTTCTGACGATAAATCTAATACCAAATACTCGCTTATGGGAGGAAGTAGAAATTGGAATCTGTACAACATCGAAGTCTGGTCAAGAACGTTAAAAAACCAATTTACGACTTGTCAATACTTTGATCGTTTTGCACCTTCTCACATGATATAGTAAAAAACGTGCTACTCGCCGTAAATGTGGACTCACAAACGTGAGATGTCAGTCGATAATCGTTCTCGAAAACGAAGTTTAGAAATGCACATCCAACGGTCGTTTGTACTGTTGCATTGAGTTTGCTCCCACTATATGTTCCGGCAAACTGTTCCAGACATTTAGCACGTACTGTTCAAGGCATAGGGGATGGGGACTCGCTCCAGGTCTGGAATCACAAGCTTTTACTAGTGACCGTGTTTGCCGCAAGGTGTACGCAAGTGGACCAGTGGCCTCAGTATGGGAAGTCACCTAGATGAGGGTGCGGTAAATCATGATGAGATCGACTCGCACCCGACGATTAGCCAGGGTATACAATCTCAGCCTCTCGCATCTGTCTTCGTACGGTAAGCCCCGCAAACTGGGGATGAGCCTGAAAATGACGGGTTGGATCCGTTCGATTTTCTACAACTTATCTCAAGTGGTCGGGTAATAGACGAGCGAGCCGTACCCTAGTATTGGTCTGATGATGGAGGAGAAGAAGCAAAGGCGAGTGGACGCCTCTTCAGACTACATGCAGAAGCTGCGTTTGAGCGCCAGGAGCATGCGCAGTCCGTTTCGGTGTAGCCTGTTCGGGTTGTCCACGGGTTTCAAACGGCAACACGCGAGTACGTCTAGGTCCTTCACGGAAGGTGTGGCTTGTAGCCGTTGATCGTCTAGGGCGTAGGTTCAGCTGTCACCACTTACCGCAAACACATAAATACCGATTTGGATGGGTTGACCGGGAGGCGGAGTTCTGCAGACCATATGGAAAGGCGGCCGATGTCTTGCCGAGATGGTAATGAGTGGCCATCAAGCCACACGAATATTCAAGTCAGTCATTGTACAGAAGCGATCGAATTGATTATGTGATAATGGCATCCATATCCGATTGAAGCAATCGTCATAGCCAGACACGGGACCACTGTGCACAAACCCCAGGCCACTTTGCAGGGTCATCAGGTGTCGAATCCTTCATCAACACCTGAAGCGATAGTGGCGAACTTTGCTTTCATACTAGGCACCACTAATCTCGGGGCTAGTTGACGAATTAACCAAGGCCTTCCATAGTGTACAGAGTGCAATGTGACTCGGGAGTTCTACTGCACTTCCAAATACATATGCTTGTGCTCAACACTGGCTCAAACTCAGGAATTTGCGGCTAACTAGACGGAATGCTAGTAATTTCGAAGATAGAAGTAGCTCACACTTGGATAAAAAGTCTTGTTGCTTATTTTGCAAAGCACAACATGTGTCCCCGATTGGTTTACGACGCATGAAACCTTCGTATTTGACTCTAAACGAGAAAACCAATGAATTTCCCCTTTTCAGATATGCGCTTCGATATTGAAATGATGTCAAGTGTCCGGTTCAGTTTTTGCTGCCTGAGAGCTGAAGATCAGATTGTCTGGAAGGCCCTACTGAGACAGAGGATTCCAACTGCCCAATATACCTGCGCAGCACGCCTTTAACGTGTTTTGGGAATATTTTCATCTTAATTTTGCCCACTGGACATGTATACAGAGCTCGTGATAATCGATGCGTGGAATCAGTACGCCTATATCATCCGGTGACGGAGAGCGTTTTCGACCCCGTCGCAAAAGTGACAGATCTCCATGATTTCACAGAGACAGATCTATATTTGTGCTGATCACATTTCGTGTTTTCAAATCCAAACTCAATTATAAAAGGTCACTGTTTTACACATTTTCGTTTTGGAAGCATACACAATGGGTTGGTAATGAGGTAGCGTATTCAACGGCAAACTTGCTCACTGAACTTAACGGTGTTGGCTGGCTTCGACCAACCATTTTAACGTTCTAACTTCCAACGACGACTGTCAGTATTTCGAGTTTGTCCGCGCTAATGGGTCATTGATCAAAGCTGTAATTGCAGAAACATGAGGCCCGGGGAAACAACCCTTTGCAAGTGCTCAGTAAGTCAGCACCTATAGGATGAATGTGGTTACCGAATAAGTTTGAGCTATCACGGGTTCAACTTCTATGTGTGTTGCAACCATGCCTAACGACATTATCCACTGTCATAAGTTTACTACTGACACAACAGAGCGCCACAATGCCATGACGCTAGCAACGAATCAACAAAGCCAACAAGCTGAAGCACTCGTTGGCGCCTCCAATAGATCCAACTTGGCGATGTATTAGCGATAAAAAGTGGGCAGCCTTTCGCTGCCTGTTAACTGAACCTAATTAGTTCAAATCGACAATTCACTTCGTAATACACAGCACATAAATCTAACTTAGTTCATGCTTTACTGGTATAGTTGAGAAGTTTCAATGAGGATATTGTATTATATAGCAAGTAGAAATGAATTCTGTACAACGCTTTCGAAATATAGTGAAAAATCTTTTAAAAATTGTCAGCCGTGAATATCGTTATTGTTCTCATGTAACATGTAAACCATCTGACTCACGGTATTGCAGGACTCAGAAATGTGACATGTCATCGTAAGTGTGCAATCTTTCTCTGAATCGGATAGTGGTAAAATATAAATCTAACAACGTTTTGAACTGGTGCACAGGTGTTGCCTCCATCACATGTTCAGGCAAACTGTTCCAAATATTTACCACTCTCCCTTCGAAGCACAGTAATTGGGGAACTCGCTTCACATCCGGCACAAGTTTTTACCTGTGTCTGCGTGTTCTGCATGGCCCTTGTAAGTGTACCATAGGCCTCATCATGGGGAAGTCACCGAGATGTGGAATACGGTAGGTCATAATGAGGCCGACTCGCACCAGCGGTAGCACAAGATGTACAGTCCTAGTTTCTTGCACCTGTCTTCATACCCCAAGCCACGTAAACTCGGGATGAGCCTGGTAGCAACGTGTTGGACCCGTTCCATCTTTTGTGCCTCACCTCGGGTAATCGGAAAGTAGGCGGGCGAACCGTACTCTAGCATTGGTCTAATGATAGAAGAGAAGAGGCGAGTGGCAACCTCTTCAGACCATGTGCCGAAGCTACGATTAAGTGTCCGAATCATGCGCAGCCGTTACGATATAGCCTGTTCGTGTTGTCCACGCGAGAGTAGACCTAGGTCTTTCGCGGTGGGTGTGGGATATTGCGGTTGGCCGTCAAGAGTGTAGATTCGACCGTCAACACCTTCCCCAGGCTCATAAATACAGACTTAGTTGGGTGGACCGGGAGATGAACTTCCGCAGACCATGTGGATAGGCGGTTGAGGTTTTGATGAGGTAGGCCACAGTCGTCGGGAGCGTCAATTTCTCTCCAACTCTTCATGTCGTCCGCAAACCAGGCACACGGCGACCGGAGAAACTGAGGTAGATCATTGATGTGGATCAGAAACAGGGTGGGCCCCAGCACAACGACTTGAGGCACGCCATTTGTAGAGGGATACCAGTCAATTAGATGGTCGTCGACCTGTGCCCTCCACTTTCGTCCCACAAGGAAGTCCCGGATCCCGCGGGGCAGTGAGCCACCGACACCACACATTCTGAGTTTATGAAAGAGAACCTCATGGTTGACCTTGTCGAGCACTTTACTGAAACCGATGGATATCACGTCGACAGACTTCCCATTGCTTATTGCCTTCAACCACTCATGCCTCATCACAGGCAAGTTTGTAATGTATGAGTGGCCTTGCATAAAGCCGTGCTGTGCGGGCGTCAGGACCCCTTTTGACTGTAGCAACTGCAATAATCCATTTTTTACGACTTTCAGCAACCTTTGCCAAAATGTGTGGCAGACAAATTGGGCTGTAATTCTCTACTTTGTTAGGGTCGCCGCCTTTCGGAATAGGCTTCACCACCGACCATTTCCACCGATGTTGGTAAATGATGCGTCTGCCTAATGTGTTTTCGCCGGATCTGCTAAAAGCAACTAGATATACGTGAACCTAAACTGCGTTGCGTTCATGTCAATTTTGGTGAAGGTTGAGAGAAAGTAAAGCAGTGTTCATTCGAAAAGTTGTACAGTAGGATCTCTGAAGTTGACCACCTCTGTAACCTGATCACCCTCTAAGTTGGCTGATTCTTCATAGCTTCTTCACCGTGTAAACCTTATGGACCCATACCTCTGTATGTTGACCACCTCCCGTCACAACGAGACTGGACCTTAACGTGGTGCGACGGTTTGCGTACCTCATTGACCCATTGAGCTATAATGGGTGATGCCTCCGGGCACCTTGAGAGCTACTCCTACTAGGTTGGTCAATGGTGAGAGGTCAGACAAACTCAGTCTCGTGGTCCTCAGGTTGGAGGTTGGCAATGGGATGGCGTCCATTTCTGTAAAACTAAATCATTGCCACCTCCCCGCTGCCTTGCGGACAGGCTTTTGAGCCAAAGGCTTTGGATGAGAACCCTAATCGTCCTTCTGTCTAGGTCTGGGCGTCCTGGCAGTATCTCAGCCCACATACAACCATGACATTTTCTTCAAACATAAACTTCCTCCTGCATCGGCCGTCGCGCAGATTATCAAGGGTCGCCTTATCTGTTGCATACAGCAGGGCGGATAAGCGAAAACATGCTACTGCTGGCGCTTCCTTCTTTCTTTTCCACCTTTTTTTTTTACTCCCATCCCGGCCCCTATTACTAACCTTCCTTCTATAATTTCCAGCTTAATTGACAGCAAGCGAAATGCCACTGGAGTAGAACCATCTGCAGTCACCATTTCACAACACCTATCAGAAGCCTATAGGCAAAAGTCCCTAATAAGGCCACGCTATCCCGTTTTCATGGCGACGTTCAACGTTCGCACTCTAAGACAAACCGGTCAACAGGCTGCACTCGCACACATCTTAGACACACTGGGTATTGATGTGTGTTGCGTGTCCGAAACTAGGATCAATGACCCTAACGGGGGTTATTGAATTAACTGCACCCGGCTTATCCTCTCGTTATTGGTTGCACGCATCCGGAGACGCCGATGCAGCATTCACGGGTCAAGCTGGTGTAGGTATCATTCTAAGCTCTAAGGCTGAGCCATAGTTGATTGACTGGATTCCGGTGAACAGCCGTTTATGCACAGCCCGTTCGACGACATCAGCTAAGGTTGATTCACGAAGTAGTACAAAACGCTGTCTGTTTGTGATTTCCGCTTATGCTCCCACCGACTGCAGTTCAGATGTTCTCAAGGACATATTCTATCACGAACTGAACGCGCTACTACGCAGTGCTATTAGTTCAGATAGTATGGTACTTGCAGGGGATATGAACGCACAAATAGGGCGGCTGAGCTCTTCAGAAGCTCAGCTTGGTAGTAATTATGGGCTTAACTCTAAACGGACTGACAACGGTGAGCGTCTGCTGCAACTGTGTGTGGAGCACCAGTTGTATTTTAGTAGCACTGCTTTTAGACACAGTGGGGGCCGAAGTGCCACTTGGCGTCCTCCTGTAGCTTGCCAACAATGGACCCAAATTGACCACATAGCCATAAGTTACAGATGGCGTGGTTCCATCCTAGATTGCCGCTCATACGGGAGTACCTGTGTCCACTCTGATCATGTCTTGGTACGCTGTCGTTTCTCCATGAACTTTACTGGGAGGCGGACCAAGTGTCCCCTACGATTGGCAACGGAGAAATTGTCTCAGTCCTCGGTCAGGCAAGCCTATCAAGAGGCGCTGCGTATCGAACTTCCGCTGTCTTGTCATAATGACACTGAACTTCAGTGGAATAGGAATTCGACCGCCATGCACGACGCAGGAGCATCTGCTTGTGGTACCAACAATTGTCACCGCATCAGCCACTGGATATCCGAGAGGTCCGTGAACCTGTTGGAATCTAGAAGACACCTCCCGATTGACTCTGAACACAATGTGACCAGACGGGCTATTAGGCGTGAACTAAAGCGGAGCCTACGTGCTGACAAGGAAGCCTGGTGGACCAGTTGGGCTCAAGAAATGGAGGAGGCAGGAGCAGTAGGCAATTACCGCAAGCTTTTCCAGCTAATCCGCACCACTGGTCCCAGAAAACCAGGCGTCAGTGAGACAATCAGAGACAGCGCGGGTGCGCTGATACACAATAAGGAGCGCCGTATAGCTCGTTGGGCGGAACACTTTCAAGATCAGTTCAGCTGGCCCCCTACTCCCGGACGTCTTCCAACTCAAGTGATGCAGGACGAATCATGGACGGTTAGTTTAGAGCCTTCGTCGGAGGCCGAGGTCCGAAACGCGATCACAGCCCTTAATCGTTTCCGTGCCGCTGGCCCGGATTCTTTCCCACCTGCACTATTTAAGGATGGAGGTGAGGTCCTCTGCAAAGCACTGACCTACTTATTCGAATGTATCTGGAAGGAAGAGTGTACCGGCTAATTGGTGCGAATCGATTATAGTAGCAATATACAAGAAGGGCAGTCGCACAGACTGTTCTAACCACAGGGGTATTAGCCTAACGCCAGTTGTGACAAAATTATTGGTCTCGATTCTCGTTCGTCGCCTCACTGTGGAACGCGAATCTCGGATTAGAGAAGAGTAGACCGGTTTCCGCCAAGGACATGGCTGCATAGACCATATATTCACTTTGCGGCAGGTGCTAGAGCAGCGCCACGCGTACCGCAGGCCGACATTAGCTGTGTTCCTCGATTTCAAGAGTGCGTTCGATTCAGTCGATCGATCGATTCTATTCGAAATACTTTCACGGAAAGGTGTTCCCACGAAATATGTGAACATCCTTCGTGCTCTATACTCAAGCACTACAGGCCGCGTCAGGGTCTACGGTGTCCTATCGG